GTATCTTTTGAAGTTTTTAGCTAGAGAGTCAGACACTGGTACTTTTTCATGAGAGCTCACTGTAACAGGCTACTGTGTAGTATACAGTAATGTGCAAAAGTCAGATACTACTCTTCATTTATTTGATTTCCAGTCAAGTTATTCATTTTTTCAGTGTTAGGAAAAAGCACAAAGTATTTATTGAACTGAAAATTGCACAGAAGCCTCAACAACTAAAAGTAATATAAATATTTTCAGTATGTAGCGTCCACCTACACAGCTTTACCACAGCTTCCATTCTTTTCGGGAGGCTTATTTTTTGTTTTTTCAGGGAAATCTGCAGGGATGTTTTCCCACACTTACAAAGTTCAGTCTTGCATTTTCTGCTTCTCACCGTCCAAGTAATCCCAAACACATTCAGTGATGTTGAGGTCTGGGACTCTGGGGTGGTCAGTCCATTGCTCTGAGAACACCAGCAGCGTCTTTGTTTGATGTGTCCATTTTGTATCCTTTTGAGATCGAGAGCACCAAGTTGTCTTCTTGTAGTGGAAGGATGGACAGAAACACCTGTAAGAACACCTGGAAGATCACAAGTTCAGTCCTTACTGATGCCACAGCCATCTGTGGATGGGAGTCCAAGAGAGCATAATTGTCCTCCCTCTCTGAGTGGGTCGGATGGCCCTCCCTCTCACCAATCACTCAGTGAAAAGCTAGCCAACATGGGTGTCTGCTAGCTGACCTAACAGAATTGGCAGTTTGAATGTTCTGCTTCACAATGATGTTGTGTTAGTGGCAGTTTGAAAAAAAATGCACCTTCACCCTCCTAGTGCTGGTACTATTGTGTGACTTGGGAGACCAGCTAGTGGGGAACTGGACAGGACTAAATGTCCAATCCAGCGTTTTCTGGTATTGAATTGGTGTCATATCTTATAATAATAATAATTACAAAATAACAACAACAACAACAAAAAATGAATGAATTTACATGACATCAAAAATCATTTAATTAATACACAGATTACCTATTTTAAGTGTCGTCACCATCCAAACAAAAATATGTTTTGTCCATTTTTATTTTTCTACATCATTTGAACACGGCAGCTGCCCTTTACAGCGTCAGTGTTTACATGCAAAGATTTTTGCAAACCCAATTGAATACATTTCAATTATAGATTAAGACTGAGGTGTTTATTCTCACTCTACTCAACAATCTGATGGGAAATCTGTTTACATGCACACTACAAGTAATCCGATCCAAAATTACACACGTGTGTAGAGCACCACTTAGTGTAGACGTTACCATGACAACAAGCATCACGTGAGTCCAGTCAGAGTGAGATGAGCAGCAGTGAGCAGCGCTTGTGTTTTTAATTACTCTAAAATGATGTCAGACTCAGGAAAACGTCCTTCACATGTCCTTATTAAAGAAGGCCGAGAGGAAGACGTCGTGTTCTGAGACACATTAGCTGGACGTCCGTCCCACCGCCGTCTTTTAAAGATCAGAGCATAAACTTCGTCTCCTCTGCAGACCAGTTTCTGCTCCGCCATGTTGAACGGTATAAACTTTCACCATGAAGCGACACACATGATCAGAACGGACTTAAACTTTCCGACTGGGAACACAGATGCAGGCGTTTACACGGGTACTATTCTTCTATTTAACGGATTATTTACAGGCTTAACTTTACGCACCTTGTTCAATCAGATAAAAGTGTATTCCGAATGGCCTCAACTGGATGTATTCTATTCCGATTGAGCTGTTAGTTGTATTATTAATGGATTTTTAGGTTGCTTGTAAACACGGCTATTGTGTGAAATTTTAATGAAGAATGGACCAATAGAAATGCTCCAGGAGCACTTCAAATAAAACCTTGTTACATGAACTTTTGAAAGTGAGAAATGTTTTTGCCCTCTCCTGTAAAGTTACTAATTTGGAGATACTTGTTTTACTTTGGACAGTGAAATGTGCTAACATGATATGAATTTTTATCATAGCTTTAAAAAGTGATATAATCTAAATTGATCAAGGCCCTCAACTGTAATTGGAGGAATAGCTATATTTAGTCTTGGAGTTTTGAATAACTTAAGTGTGTAAAACCTTTAAAAATCAGATGAAGAGGGACGTCTTACCCCTGCACCGGTAAATGTTCAAATGTAGCTCTAGCTAACACATAAACCTCTATAAAGACAGAACAAGACCAGAGTGGCCGTTGGCCTTTGCTGTATATGACACGTTTCCAGTGCTGTAGACGTTGCTCAGGTAGCTGTGAGTGGTCTTCAGTGCCATGCTCTCAATCATGCATCCTCTCTGTTCCAATTTCACCACTGCAGAAGGTGGCAGCCCCTCTGCCTGTGTGCAATCACCAGACATTTCTGAACAAAACGCAGTGCGTGCCTCGCAGGCCGCTCGGGTTGGGGTCATCACCGCTCCCCCACTTCAGCTTATTGTTTCAAAGCTGTGTGAAGACGAGCAAGCGCGATCACGACCGGTTCACTTTCGACACAAACAGTCACTTGATGCTATGATGCTCATCCCTCTCTCTCCTGATAGACACCCCCCCACAAGAAATAGCTCTCTGGAGGTGGAGGGATGAGTTAACTTGTTGTCATGGCAACCACAGGTCTTGTAAATGCGAGTTTTTTTTTCTTCCTTCTCCTGCAAGAAATGTTTTCTCCATCCCACAGCAATGACGGCAGGGAGAACGAGTAGAATAATGGTGCCCGAGCCACTGAGAGGAGGCCACGCAAATTAATCCTTCATTGATGTGCTGATATCCAGACTGGGCAGTTTCACTGAGCTCTTTTGTTGACTCCCACTGATTCTGGTACAAGTACACATGAATGGGCTGCTTGTTTGCTGTTTACATATTCAACTTTTGAGTGAATATTTTTTTTCTTTTGCTAAAATAAGTGCAAAAAACAGAAAGTTATTTTTCATCAAGAGCAATAATCAATGGGTTGAAAGTTCAGTGTTCCTCTGTAAAGCACTTAGAGATTTTGTAACTTTTGTAATTTTGTCAAAATGAAGTATTGTTATTATAGAATTTAAGGCTTTTTTATTACCTATATTATTTATATTAATATTTAAAGTTGGTCCATTAGGAATTCCCAAAAGGAATTTTGAGGAATTTTTTTTTCCCCATAGGACTAAATGGAGTGCAAAAGTTTTGGCACTTTTCTTGTGTCACAATGATACAAATACACTAACATGTACATTCAACACACCACACACCCCACAAACACACTCAACACACCACACACTCCACACACACATACACATACACACTTTTAAGGTTTGATTTGACACTAGATTTAAGGTAGCAGGAGATTTAAGGTGGAAGTGGATGTAAGGCAGCAATTATTTACTGTAGTAGTGAAGTTAAGGTAGCAGGAAATTTAAGGTGGCAGTGGACTTAGGCAACTATAACAACTACCAACTTAGCAACAACCTAGCAGGACATATGAACCATTTAAGCTGTGTGACCATTCTGTGTTTCCTTCAGGAAATGCACGTTTCTAGTTTTAAGTATACGTGTTTGTTTCTTAATCAAAATATTCATAAAGCAGCTGTTTGTTTGATTTGTAACAGAAAAATGATTTCAATAACTTATTATTATTATAATTATAATTATTATTATTAGTATTGACAATTGACAAGAAGTAACCCATGTATTTTTAGCTGTAATGCTCCCAGCCACTGTTTATACAGCAAGAGTTTTCTTGTGGGTGATGGGAAGCTGCTGTTTAGAGTCCTACTTTCTTGAGCTTAACTGTAAAATAAATGTTAAGAGATAAGACTCTATTTAAGAGTGTTCCCTGTAAAAGCTCCGGCACTCACAATCAAATGCATACAGATTTATTCATACAGGTTCCAGTGGCAGTGAATGTTTTATGCCAGTGTACTAATGCGCAGCGCTCGAAAGAACGTGACATAATATCTTTATTACTTGCTGTTAATTAACATATTAGCCAGTGGAGATGAGAGTCTGCCATTATAAGTTATGACATTGGGTTACAGTTACTTGCTTGAGGTTCTTATTTGTAGTTACCACTCAGAATGACATTTGAATGCTTATTTCCTGTTCTGAGGCTTCCCATAATTCTGACCATTCGGATGTGACTTGAACACAATACATGATTTTAGAATTTTTCAGCAATGCCTTTTTTATTTTACAGACACAAATCATAAGCGTTGATCTTGTGAGCACTCGGTTGACTGCTTCTGGTGCCGGTATTCAAATACTGACTCACTATTCAGGTATTCATTGTGCTGAATGGCAGAAAGTCAGGGGAAGATATCATTACTGTCCAACAAAAAGACATGCATCTCTTTTTTTGTTGATTTTTATTTTTCAACATCACTTGAACGCGACGGCTGACCTTTACATTGTGTGAAAATTTCAAGATGAATGGACCAATAAAAAGACTCCAAAATGACTTGGAATAAAAGCTTAGCAAATACACGGCTGAATAGTGTGGCATGTTTTGCTTGTATTTGAGATTTGAGAAGTATGAATAATATATTTCTCTATCATGAAACTTAAGTGCATTAATGTGAGTGGGAGAAGGTAGAGGTTGTCAGGCTATAACTAGACCAACTACGCTAGCTGACTTTAGCTAGCTAGAACCAAAAACAATGAAAAGATGACAAGTCATCACCATCTACTGCAGCACTGGTTAGCTCTAGTGTTAGCACATTAGTTCATCTGAAAGGGCAGCCTGTGTTAGTCAAGCCTTATCAAAGGCAATAATACCTTCCAGTTTAAGCCCACAGCAATCAGATCCCCTGGCTATTTTGGATCATAAAACATATTTTTTAAATGTATCCCTCTTGTTGTTTTTTTCCTTTATGTTACTGATTACTGACTTAGCCTGCTAGCACCAGTGCATTAGTTAACCAAACATTCGTTCGTCAAATCTCATGGATATTCAAATATCAAAATAAGGCAGAACATCCATCCTTGGAAACTCGACTGTCAGTGTCGTCTCACTCTCTCTTTCTCTTCCGTTCTCATTGGCAGGAGCAGAGGCTGAGGCAGCCCGTCTTCCCCACATCCCTCTCTCCCGCGGCCAATTCAAGAACTTTGCAGAGATGGGCTCTGAACTTGGCCGCCAGTGAATTATTGATATCGGCCACTTACGAGAGAATAAAGAAGCATTTACTCAGCGTAAGTTTCCCTGAATTAATCATAACGCCGGCCCAAAACGCATGACGAATTCTTTCATTACAAACCCACCAATTTCTTGCTTAAATGACACACGTCTTCAGCGAGCGTGGACCCAGCTATTATCTGCGGCATCACTTTACCGCGCATCAAAGATTCAGCACACAGGCTTTTGTTGTCCTGCGCCATCGCATCTTCCACCTGCTGCATAAAAGCACGCACCATGCAATTTTGACATCAGCATCCCACTTTTGCTTGAGGCACGTTCAATGGCAGAGTTAATTGGCACTGATAATTTGGTGCCATAATAGAAGTTGATGAAAGTAGCTGGTGCAGCCTGTCAAAAGAATGTGCTCCATACTTAAGCAGACATTTAATTCCCTGTTTCTCCATCAGAGCAAAACAAACACAAACATTTACATATGGGTGAAAGTACATAAATAAATAAAAATAAAAATTTCTTAATACTAAAGGAAAACTGTGAAGAGCAACTTTACTTAACGCTTTCTGCCTATCATGCTTTTTGCAATTACTCAAATATCATATATATTTATAAAGAGTAATTTCTGTACATTTTTATGGTTCCATCTAGTTGCCTCAAGTCCTACAGTTTGTTTATAGAGCCACCAAGTTACTCTCGAGCTGTATTGCAATAAACATGTAAAGCTTTCTTTTACAGTACCAGTTCTATGATTAACTAGGTAAGTGTGAAGTACAAACTCCAAAGTACTCGATAAATATGGGTAACATGATGCTAAGGTGCTACCTGGTCCAAGTAGGAGTTTCCAATTTAGTTTCCCACTTAAAATCATTACATTACATACAAATTTAGTGTATGTTTGTATTTACCACCATGTTATTTTCATATAATTAGGTCCATTATCATCTTAATAACTAGAATCTGTTGGCGTTTCAGTGTAATTTAGTTAGACTGTCTTGGTTCTTGTCAACATTTAACAACAAATAATTACACAACTTTTTAAAATTTTATAATTTTATTGTTTCTCACACTTACTCAGTTAATATCTAGAACCCGTTCATCATGTCAGTGTAAAGTTAAACTGCCTCAGATCTCATAATCATGTTACCCAAAGTAATAATTTTGTCCATTTTCTTATTTCAATGTTCTATAAAGTGTTTTATACAATTTTTTGTCTTCAGTATGTAAAAATTATTAATATTCATGACTTAGTCTAGAATTCTAAGAGTCTATCTGTGTCCAGTGCCGTTTTGAGACATTGAGGGTCAAATATTTCACTTTTAAACCAGCAAAATTCTCATGTAGTCATTGTTCATTTTCTAACAAAGTCGTTGTCTTGAGACCGTTGAACGCTAAAATTGTAAGATATTTGTAAAAAGCCTTTTTTTATGGAATCGACTGAATGCAGAGCCTTTTCATTCTGAGAACTCTCTTTGAGTTTAGAATAATAAGGTTTTATCTGTGACTAAATCCAAATTAGCAAAAAACTTTATCAAACTGTTCAATATTCAAACTCTAATATCATAAATACATACAAAGCATGAAATGTAGCAAATATAAAGACAGCTGTCTCAGTGTAATACAGTGTAGTACACTGCTTTACATGAATTTTATTTTCAGATATTTGTATAGGTTTCCTGAGCCACATCAATATCATGAGCATGTTGACTGTAAATAACTGTACAAAATAAATGTACAGTGCTGTGGAGTTTGTACCACATACTTACCCAGTTAGGACCTGTTTGGCATTTGAGTGTCATTTAATTAGAGTGCATTGGAACTTACCGTCATGTTACCCATAATTTTCCAGTACTTTTGAGTTTGTATGTCATACTTGCCTGGTTAATACCTAGAACTTAAAGGACTGTAAAAGAAATTGTTACCAATGAATGAGATATTTTTTAATGAGAGAGTTTTAGCCCCGATATTTTTTCTTGTTTGGCATTTTGACACTTTGTAAGAGCTTCTAGCCTCTTTCCTGAACCAAAACTTCTAATAAAGGACCTAATAAAAGTGAATTAATAGATTTTTTCTTTTGGGAAAGATTGAAAAAACATTCCCTGATAAGTAATCAATACACTAAACATTGGCTGACTAGAGAACCCTCCTAAAAAGGTAATATAGGGAAGCACACTATGGACTGTATGCAGTAGACTCTCTAACGGGGAAAGAGTTTCTGGGCCCACAGAAGGGAGCAGTTCCAGATGACAGTTTAAGTTATAGCTGAGGTTCAGTCTTGTACGTATATGGAGGGTTGGGTGAGATGGCCCTATGGCGAGTTGCGCAAGAGGGCCCTGTAAGGAGAGAACAATCTGGTAAGAGTCAGACCAGAGTGGGTTTTAAAAAAAGACATCAAACGCGTTTGGGTTTAAAGGCTACCAAACAAGGTGTAAGGTTTGGACATGATGGGGACTAAAATGGTATGGAACTGTGTAAATGGGGTGGGGAGATTACCTCATCGCCCCAGAGGGGAATAAAAAAAAGGGATGTTTTGAGATGTTCTTGGCATTGTGGTTGACCGGGAACCATCTTGCCATTTGATGATCAATAAAGCGAAGGCCTTTTTCTTCCCTCCACAAGAACTCAGCGGCTGAAGTCTTTTTCATTCCTTTTTATCCTTTTTCAATGTTGTTGATATTCTTTGATTCTTTTAGCTCTTTTTGAAGACATTAGATTACAGACAGTTATTGGTTACTTAGAAGTTACTTATAAATGTCCAGACCCTGGGCAAAAAGAGAGAGCTCTTGGCTATGACAGAGCCATCAGATTTCAGGCTGCACACTTCCAGAGTGAGTGAATTTCACATCAGGTTCAACTTTGGTGAACTTTAATGCTCAAATTGCATCCACGACCAAATAGCGCTAGAGCAGCACTGAAGATTAAAAATGTAACATGAAAGATGAAACGCTACATTTAGCATGACCACTTTAACATTTCTTCCCTGCTGCCTACAATTATTCACATAAAAGAGACACTGCATGATGCACAGTCAGTCGGAATGCTGTATTTTATGGTAGAACTATTTTTACTTTTTTGATTTTACTGTTTATGATAGTTAGCCAACTTGGTAGCTGCTAGGTTAGCTGCTTGGCTAAGCCATTTACCAGTCAGGTCATCTAGTTTTTGCTACAACTTGGTGTGTGGTGCTATGCTTTTGCTTAAGCAATAGAACACGAGAGGGAGTGTTCTATTGCTTTTATACAACAGTTAAATAAATAAAGTACGAAATAAATAAACTGGGTCGTGAACGTGGCGTTTAATATGTATTAATGTTCGCAATTCCTTCCACCAAATTATAGTTACTTAACAAGCAGCTTGTTGCTATGTCAAAACCCCGCTCAGTCGCTACACAGTCTGCTGTAAGCCTCGCCTTTTGAAGTACAGACTGAATCATAAAACTGCCGCAATATCAAGTTTAGCTCAGTGTTGTCATTTTTTGCTGATCAGTATTAATGTTGTTTTGTTCCAGCCAGTCTGTAAAGCATCTTACAGCCCATTTAGTTTGGTGTTGGGTTCATGTCACGCATGTAACGAACACTCAGGGAGAGTCGGACTCCATTTCCCAGAATACTCTGGGAGATCATGTGACTTCGGACAATGTCTCACGCACCTGTCAACGATCAAAGTCTCCTGAGTATTGACCTGTTTCACCTGTTTAAGCCAGGCTGTAGGTAGAATCAGTGTGAGGTATTGTTTCCCAGCAAACTTACTGAGCGTTTATTTCTATATGTGTGTTTCTGATTATCCGACCTTTGCTTCGTCCTTTGATTTGCCTCTTGCCTGCCCCTTTTGTACCGTTGCCCTGTCTTTTTGATCTGTGTTTTTGGAACTTGCTTGCCTGTTTTTCGACCACGTCTTTTGCCTTGTCCCTTTGGTTCTGTTCGCCTGGTGTTATGATCACCATTGTGATCCTACTCCGCTTTTTGGTTTTGACCCCTGCGTGTGTATTGACAACGAGCCTGCCCAGCGATAATAAAACCTTTTTCACTCCTTTAATCCGCACGCGTCTGGATACTGCTGATTGGTTACAGTTCATTTCTGGCTCCAGGTTGTTTAGCTGCTCTTCTGCCACAGCTGCTGACTAAAAAGCTGCTCAGTGGTGATGACAGTTTGTAAATTTAGTGTAGTCTCATCTTCAGAGACTGACTAAATCGGCTGTCGGTCAAATGTGATCTTAAAAGTGTCCATTTTCTGTTTGTGACAAAATAAGAAGTAAAAATGTTCAAATGGCTTGAGCGTCTCCCACAGCTGTCAAAGTCGTTGCCTAGCAACGGTGTCGCAGTGGAGTGATATAGTGTTTATGAACACTTCTTAACCAATCAGCCTGCGTCCCTGGAACTAACTGTTGTATAAAAGTATATACAGCGATCAGGCATAACATCATGACCACCTCCTTGTTTTTGCTCTCATTGTCCATTTTATCAGCTCCACTTACTATATAGGAGCACTTTGTAGTTCTACAATTACAGACTGTAGTCCATCTGTTTCTCTGCATACTCTGCATACTCTTCATAAATTTCTGGATTGACTGTAGCTTGTAGCAAAGCAAAGAAAAATAAAAAAAATGGATGGAGTGAAAACAAAGACAAGATAAGAACAGAAACAGTAAAAGCAGAAAAAAGGTAGAAATATGAAATTATGAATGAAAGTACTGCTTCAGTTTGCCTTAATAAGCCCATTTTGTTATAAACTGCAAATCATTATAACTTGATAACATTAAAACTGATCCCCAGTTAATTTCGTATCACCTTTAAAACTCCTTATAAAAAAGGACTCTTAATTCCCAAAGGCAAAATAAAGCAAATTAATAAACATGGGTCTGCATCAGATACCAGAGAATATCACCACAAGGTCACTGCAACCTAACAAACACCGTACAAGCTCTGTGCTGCTCTGCTTCTACCCCAGAGACTCAGAGATGAGTCAGAAAGGCAGCCACGCAGAGAGAGGGATTATTTTTATGTACAGTGCTCTCTCTCTCTCCCCCTCTCTCTCTCACTCTCTCGCTCTCTCCCTGTCGAGA